AAACATGGGGATTGACCATTGAAAGAAGAAAAATACGCCGTAAACGAAAGCCAAATGAAAATGCAGCTGATGCTGGATTGACTGCTGAACAGGAAATTTATGGCATCTTGAAAGATGTTATTGATCACTTGATTACAGAATTGACAGGAAGATTTTCTCGCTTACTAGATTTAGATTCACGGTTTGTATTTCTACTAGATGTGCAAAATATTGTTTCTGGAGATTTTGAAGACGGAAATTGCAAGAAAAATGTTCTGACTTAGCAAAGAGCTATCCAGGTGATATTGATGGACCAGAATTGTACAACTGTAGAATGTTGATAAATAAAAGAACACAGACCGATTTTCCTGAACCAATGGTTGCAACTGATTTACTAACATTCATAATTTCATATGGCGAAGATGTTTTCCCAAATTTAAGAATTGCATTGCAGATTTTGTTAACAATTGGGGTTTCTATTGCTAGTTGTGAAAGGTCCTTCAGCAAGCTGAAATTAATTCTTACACACTTGAGAACCTCAATGACTCAAGAACGACTCAGTAGCTTGGCAATATTAAGTATCGAAAAAGACGTACTTAATACCTTAACTTTTGATAGTTTAATTGATGCATTTGCAGCAGCAAAAGCACGAAAGGTTCATATAATGTAACCATGAATACCAGAATGCTACCTGTACAAGATCTAGTTAACTATATGTACAATTTTGTAAACTAATAAAATTTGTTATTTGCAAACTTAAGTAGTATTTTATCAATCTGTTTTATAATCCATGTACACCACAAGTGATTGGCTTTTCATATGAAACATAAGTTTCTAAACTAGGGATAGAACAGAAATTTATTCTGCATGCTTGAAAGATTACTCTAGCTATGTGACTTTGAACAATATTGGATGACATAAATATCAAAATGGTTTACAAATTATGTAAGTACACCTAGTATGCTATGCTTCATTAGTTTCAGGTTTACAGTTGTGATATCGTGAGATGTTATATTGTGACTTTATTTTAGGCCTGTGTAAGGCGGTAATTAATTCGTCATGTTATTCTCATTAAGTGGGTAATGAGTCACAAAACATTTCAGAGGTGGGGGCGCCAAAAGTGTCTTTGCCGCCGGGTGCTGAGTACCCTTGCTACGCCACTAGAGAGAATAGTGAATCCTTAAGGTATCTTAGGCGTCTCATCCACTAAAAGGTTAAACAATCTTAGACTGAAAAATATTCCAGAAAATAAAATCAAACAAATTTGGGATTAATCTCAGCAGCAAAACAATATATATAATAAAACGTTTACCGTTTAGATTGCATGCTATTTCCAATAAGAACTCATCGAACGCAGAAGCCTCAGGTTGGCACATCATTCATGTCCATTGTGTAGCGATGCTGTGATACATAGTCACTTATACTCATTTCCATATTACCAGAGTTGCTTTGTTACTTGATGATGCAGTAAGGTAAATAAGATTAGTAATAGCAGTCCAGTGCTAGTCGTAATTTGCACAGGAAGCACGATTCTGAACGTGTTTACCATTATGCACTCTTTACACCAAATAACTGGCTTAACCAACCACTTTTATGTAGTATTGCTTCAAATTTTGTATGTTGATTACCACAATAATTTGTGTAAACTAATAGTTTTGTTTTATGAAAACCATGAAACTTAGTTTAACACCAAAGTTTAGGGTCCTCAATGAGTAATTCTGCGGAACTATGAAATGCATTATGTTCGACTCTTAAGCTACATCAAAGTAAAGTAATATTTCATCTGTTAAATGATGTTTAATGTATTAAATCAATTACTAATATACTAGCCGCGGTCCACAAAACATTTGCCCTAGTTTCATGCCCTTCGCTTGAATTTTCCTTATTCTATCATTTTCACGCACGGCATTTAAGCTCTGATTTCTTGCAGGCATTGTGTGTTATATGACAAGTCTAAATCTTGAAAACTTCTACGCGGTCAGATAAATAAGCTCACGCAGACGTAACTTTATTTAATAAAACTACACATAAACTGTACAATAAAGTACCATTGTACAGAGCATGAAACAGTCACGAGTGTTCAGTGTATGACAGTTTTACGAGTTGAAACAAACTAAAAAAAACTTAGAATCAAACCCGTACTAAAGACAAAATATAGCCAAAAGGTGTTTATAGAAGTATATGAAACTAACCGAAGCTAAATTATTGCAGTGTAAAGTAAATGTAAAGTTGTAATGAAGGCAAACTTATTTTTTTTTGCTGAATATGTAGAACCATCTAAATGCGTGTTCAAATAAATACAAGTATATGGTTTGAACGAACTATGCAGGCAAATTTTTTACCTAAATAAGTCGAGAAAGCTATTACAATTGTATGTAGTAACCGACTCTAAGTGAACAGACTGACATAATGTAGAAGTTAGAAGATACCATTGTATATCTTCATACACGCTGGGTAGTTACTACTTGATATTGTCCAGTTACCAACAATATATTTGAACAGATTGACAAAATGTAGAAGTTAGAATGTTCTATGATACATCTTTGTCAATAGTATGAATTAACTGCTTGATAACATGTAGTAACTGACACAAAGTGAACAGACTGACATAATGTAGAAGTTAGAGAATACCATTGTATATCTTCATCTACACTGGGTAGTTACTGCTATATTAACGTCTAGTAAGTGACACAAAGTGAACAGACTGACATAATGTAGAAGTTAGAGAATACCATTGTATATCTTCATCTACACTGGGTAGTTACTGTTATATTAACGTCTAGTAAGTGACACAAAGTGAACAGATACAATGTAGAAGTTAAAACATTTCATTTTATATCTTCATACACAATGGGTAGTTTCTGGTGGATATCATTCAATAGCTGACACTATGTGAAAAAAATGACAGAATATAAAAGTTAAAACATACTGTTGCATATCTTCATTACTCTGGGTAGTTACTGCTTGATAACATGTACAGTGCTCAAACTCTGTCCTCTAAAAATTATAGGTGCATTGTTTACATTACGACCTCCACTTACAACAACTCTATTTTCCATGTCACAATTTCATCTCTATAATTTCTTTAAAAAGTACTGCATTTTTTGGCTACATGTGATAAATACATAAAGAAACAAAGTCTCTTAAATTTAAACTGGAAGTCAGTAAGTGTTCTGGTTTTTATTTTATTTATACACAAATAACTTAAATATTATTAAATATCACTTATTTTATTTTCGAAATAAACTGTCTTACAAAGTTTAACACACCATTTTCTTAAGAAGCAATTTCAGTTAAATAAAAGGCAAAATAAAAACTAACCATAATGCTGTTTATGTTTTTTTACTGAAATCACCAGTCTGCCAGTTTAACTGATGAGGCCACAAATACTTAAAGAGTGATGCAGTAAAATACAGATAATGTGAGAACACTTTACAATCTATTATGTACAATATTAATATTTGTAACAAGATAATTTGTGTTATTAATGTGATGTAACAAAAGTGTATTAAAACAATTTTATTTAGAAAATATAGACAATTCAGGCAGTGAGACTGACACTTGATCAGACTGGTGCAATGTACAAGTTAGAATATTTCATACCCCTAACCTATACTGTGTAGATATTTATTATTAACTTGTAGTACCTGATAACGAGTGAACAAACTGACAAAAATGGGGTAAGGGGTAAATTCCAGAAATGAAGTTGGAAGAGTGCAAAAATAACATCCATTCTCAATGATATTTAACACGTATAAAAACTATCATAGGCCTAATTTTTCAAAATTTAATAATTTAGTTTGGTCAGTTATCAGGTCCACAGAAACCCTTAATGATGTCAACTATATTTCAACTTGAACAAACTTGGCCAGTTTGGAACTAGCTCAGTCAATCATGACTTTTCTTCCATGCAGTGTTTGTTTGCCATATTTTGCCACTGGGTAGCCTGTACTATAAGCAACAACAATGTTTGTTTGATATAACAAGATTTTTTATCTTTACTAATTGAATATTTAATTACATAATAAATTCTACCAGAAGAGTTGCTAATAATCAATAATAATTTAGTCTTCATTATGGCTGACATGCAAGCCACAGATAGACCCTGACCACTGTGCTTTAGGTCATAATTTACTGCATAACTGTCAGCCAGTGCATACCTCCACATCATTTAATTAGATAACATGCAGAAGTATCAGGTTTTAAAACAGAATGTACCTGTGGAAGTCAAGTATTTTTATTAATCAAATTAACATTGTAATTACCAAAATAATGTTACTAACATTTAAGCTTGTTTTTACTGTCTAGTCAGCAACAAGAAAGTTTCTCCAGTTATGCTATGCTTTGATATGAACCAAATGAAAAAAAAAAGGAAAATGTATCTGGGAGGTTAACCAGTTTTAAAAATGAACACATTCAAGTAACCCCACAAGGAAATAAAAAGCCTCCTATTTTACACAAGACCAGCCTTCTTTTGTTTGTTTGAAGTTAGTTAAGCACAAAGCTACACAATGAGCTATCTGTGCTCTGGCCACCATGGATATCGAAACCCAGTTTCTAGCATTACAAGTCTGCAGACATACCACTATGCCACTGGGGGGGCTAGCCTTTTTTTAAATTATTTTCAACTCCAAAACCAGACTATGAATCCCAGCACCATCATTCTAACTCTTTTCATTTGTTTAAATTCTCTTTTTTGATTCCTGCAGAGGTATGAAGACAAAAAAAATTTCCCTGATACTTGTAGCATTTTTTTTACAATTCGTTTTTCTTTGATTTTCTGGCTTTGCTATCATTGTTCTTCCTCAAAATTTCCAAAAACATTTTTCACATTTAATATCAACTTGATTCAAAATTTCAGTGTTACCAGGTCGAAAGCTAATTTTGTATTTCAGTGGATGCAAGAAAAATGTAAAAAAAGTGACTTAAGCTAAGTTGTATATAGATACAAAAAAAATTGCCTCCCCAAGCACATTTTCATGAATTTTTAATATGCTATGGAACACATAATTCTGGTTTTAATGATGCTAAACACATGTTGTTTCCAGGTCTCTAACATTCATTCTATTAGAATATATTTCACTTCATATTTTCCTATAACATGGATGGTTACTTCTTGTTACCATATAGTAACAATTAAATAAACAGGCTGACATAATGTATAAGTTAAATATTCCAATTTATATATTCATCCATACTGAGTAGTTAGATAACACTACCTGGCACTAAGTAAACCTACTGACACAATTTACACATTAAAATATTTTACATTACATTTTCACCTATACTGAGGAAGGTACTGTTTGATAATAGACTTCGCTAGATTTGGGAGTCCTGCAAAAAAAAACAAAAAAATAATATACAGTTAGAAATTAACACAGTTCAAACAGAAGAACCAGCTTTTAAGTGACAAATTTAGGAAGTTTAAAACAAATTTTTTCAGGTTACTGCATCATCACATCAATTTAACCTTATACATTTACAGAATTCAGAAAATTAAAGTTATCATATTTGCTTGTAAAAAGAAATGCCTTTCAACGTCAGAGAAAATAAATTATTTAACACTAATATTTCAGTTCATGTCTTTGTTGCCTTTTTTCCACAGAAACTAACTGCTGCTGATGTATCTGAACGTGATTTATAAGAATAATTCACCCACAAATTTTGTTTTGTGATTCTACAGTTACAAACCAATAATAGATTCTCTAAGAATATTCTATTTTCTTGTTCTACAACTATGACTGCTTAAGAGTATTTTTTTTTGGTCCTACAACAACTAACTGCTCAATGTTTCACTAAGATATATTTTTGATTTATTGTACTACAGTTTTGTATTTTCCCACAACCATAAGCATCTTAGACTTTTAGAAACACAGAAACTTTTCTTGTTGAAATAAAATATTTTTCATTAAATAATACTTGACAATTTCTTAAGAGTTAAAATTCTATATCTTTACATGTATTTCAATACACTTTAGTATATAACTCTTACACATTAATGGTACCTTTTTGTAGCTGTATGTAAATGGCTAACATTACAGCTTGTACAGGTATATCTGTTCCTGGACCTTTGGAAATTCCAACCTAAAAATGAGTGCCTCAGTTAGAATATGTACTAGGACAGTAAGAAAGAAAATCTGACTAAGATTCTTTGCTGATCATAAACGTTCATTAAAAAACAAAACATTTTATTCTCTATAAAATAAACAATATTTTCAAAACATTACTTACAACCAGAGTCAAATAATTATTTCATTACCAAATGTTAAAATGCTGCATTAAATACATTATGACTTGACTGATTATAAATAGGAATTTTTATTACTATACTTTTACCTAGATAACAGCTTCCAATCACTTTCAGCTAAATAAAAGTTAACCACCTAATAACACCTATGTAACAGCAAACCAACCAATATCATCTGCATAACAACTTAAAACTAATAAATGCAAGTAACAGCAAACTAACCAGTATCAACCACAAAACAACTATGAATGCAACAGAACATAAGTAACAGCAAACTAACCAGTATCACCCACAAAACAACTATGAATCCAACAGAACATAAGTAACAGCAAACTAACCAGTATCACCCACAAAACAACTATGAATCCAACAGAACATAAGTAACAGCAAACTAACCAGTATCACCCACAAAACAACTATGAATCCAACAGAACATAAGTAACAGCAAACTAACCAGTATCACTCACAAAACACAACTAAAGCAAACCAACGAATATCACCTACATAAATACCAACCAACAATACAACTAAATCAAACAAACCAATATCATCTACATAACACCCAACAAACCAATGAAACAAAAATAAAGTAAACCAGCCAATATCATCCTCATAACAGTCAACAAACCAATAAAATACAAGTAAGAGCAAACCAACCAATATCACAGACATAACTCCCAAGCCAATAACAACATAAGGAATAGAAAAACAACTAATAACACTTATATATAACTAATTTACACAACTAAGTAGTAGTCAAGTAACCAGCATTACCTAAGTATAACCAATTATTATTGTTTGTAACAGACAATTAATCAATATTATCTAGGTACAACCAATTAACATCACTTTGGTAACAAACAATTACCAATACCATCTAGATAACAACAAATATCACTTAGATAACACACAAAAAATAATGTTGTCTTTATACAATTGACCAATATCACCTAGGTAACAGCTAATAACCAATATTATCTAAGTAAGGATGATAAACAAATACTGTTTACTTGATTTTAAACACACTAAACAAAAGCAGTTTAATCAATTTCCAGCTGACTAGTGTTTTAACCAAACAGTCTCCTTAAGACTCACCTGACTTAAATTTTCTCCTGCTTTGTCTAGTTCTCCTCTGATAGCATAGGCAACTGTTAAATGGTACTGCATTAAAACCTTTGCTGTAGACAGAGTATTTGGGTACCATCCTAGGGGTAAAAATTTAAAAACACAAAATAAAATATAAATATAAAGGCACAAAGCATGTTTATTAAACATTTTGGAATAAGAAGGATTTCACTGTCAGTAATGCAAAGAAACAAAAACAGATAATTACGGTAACAGACATACAGATCTAAATATAAATAATAAAATCAAGTTAGAAGAGTTTTAAGGGGAAAAAGACTGCTGTTGAGAGAGGGAAGAAATTATTTAATTAGAAAGGTTTCAACAGTAACAAGTAGAAGAATCAACAATCCTTCTCATTCCACTAGATGTCAGCACAGTCAACGTAAAAGGACAATTGCTCTGTATAGAAAACTAAATTTCTTACTACTACTTAGTCTGTCTAGTGTGAAACTGAACTTCTGATAAAAGAAACCTTGCTTGATTAAAAAAAATGCTTCTCTCTCTCAACAACAAACAGTCTCTATACCTTAAAATTTTCTAACTCAGGAGATCCCAAATTTGTTGACCGTCCTGAAGAATCTTCCAGGCAGACACCTCTTCTCCAAGGTCTTAAACTCACTTATAATGTAACTGTGTGCAGCTGTCTGTTTTATAAATTTGTTTTAGTGTTTTCTAGAAAATAATACAATTGGTAAAACTTGTGTGAGATGCAGAATTAATGTTTCCTAACATTGTGAATCAACTATGTTTTGCCTTATGATTATAACTTTGAGAATTTTTCGTTTTTCAGTTTAGTTTTAACTTTCCAAAAGTTGTGATTGATATCAGGAACTAGTTCATTAGCTAGAAACGTAGTCTCTGTCACAAAACAAAATAAAGAATAACATGGATTGCATCATCAGTGATGTATAGAAACAAAAATAATTACAGTAAGAGATATACAAGCTAAATATAAGTAACATAATCGAGTCCAAAGTGGGTGGAAGTGTAAAAGAGATATCTGTTAATGTATCTGGGCTTAGATACTGAATAGCATCTGAGATATTGTCCATCATTATTGATGCTTCTGCAGCATACAGATGAGCTAAGAACCTTCGAAAACAACAAAAGTTGGTTAAAAGTGTGAAATCCTCACATCAGTAAGTTCTTAAATCATTAACACATTGATACATTTACACATACACACATTTTTAAGATCCTGAATAATTAACAAACTCAAAAATTTATTCATCCCACAGAAGGAGGTCTTGAAAAATGTAGTGTGCACATGGTTAGTCCACTTGACCAACCCTCTAATGGAGAAAGAATGTTGACTATAATTCTGAATTTACTATGTGTATCTACACAAAATGTGGCAAGCTCTTAGGAAAATGTACAAGTCTATTGTACACATGGAATCAGATGTGTTATAAATGTATTTGTATACAAGATATGTGAATTGAAAAAATCAGTCTGATCCAGACTCTGACAAATTGAAGTGCAAAGTGATTTCATGCAAAGAATAAAAATACCTTTATACATTGTGCAATTAGCATACTGTATTTGCATAGCCTCTAGGAACTTGAAAATGCATACCTACAGTTTTTCATTTCAATATTCCTGTATATTGTATCTGGTACTTACTCTTGTGTGTCATGAACTGTTGCTAAATCAGTAATGTAGGGTATATGAATAGTTGATAACTCTGACATCAAATACATAATATTCGGTCATCAAGAACTTAATGTCACATTTTGGAACACTTTCATCAACCACCCCACAAAAAACATACATCACATATAACAGTTAACCAAACTGCCTAAATGTCACGTTAGTGTAGCCTATATAATATGTAATGTTTAGTATACTCTAATCCCTTATAGTGATGGCACCCAACGAAACATTTGGCATGTAATACTGTTTAAATACAAGAAGGGAAACAATGCCACTGTAGCTACAAAGAATATCAAAGAAGTTTATAGAAATGTTTTGAACGTTCGTAAGTGTCATCGATAGTTCAGCAAATTTCGTTCAGGTGAAATTAGTCTTAAAAACTGTGATGGTAGGGGCCGACATGTTTGAATTGATGCTTGTTGAGTCTAACCGAAGACAATACACTTGTGAAATGGCCCTGAATTTGCATGTCTCTCATGAAACAATATGTAAACATCTAAAGAATATGGGAAAACTCCATAAAGAAGGCGTTTTGGTGCCTCACGGACTCTCCGATGATCATCGTTTCCAACGTGTGTACGTTGCTTCGTCTCTTCTGGCGCATAATCCATTTTTGGACAGAATTGTCACCGGTGATGAAAAATGGATTCTCTCTGCGAATATTAAATGCCAAAAACAATGGCTCAGTCCCAGATAAATACCACTTCCGACCCCAAAACCTGGACTCCATCCGCAGAAAGTGACACTTTGCATTTGGTGGGTTATCAAAGAAGTAATTCATTTCGAACTCTTCAAGTCACAGCGGACTATCAATGCAGAGATCTATAGTCAGCAACTGGAACGTTTAAATCAAGCCCTTCATTAGAAACGTCCTTTAC